CACTGTCAAATTTTGAATGACAATTACTCAGTCATACAACAATGTACCCAAATGAAGTTTATAGAATTTTTTTAAAACGCGCCGATAGTATGCAAATATGCAGCCTCTTGGTGGCTGGGCCTTGATGACAAGCGGCCGCATATTAGTGTACCATTTGTAAACAAACATGTGCTGAGAGCACGCGCCCTGCATGCTCCAGCATGTGTCAGCATCCCAAGGAAAAGTCCCAATCTCTCCTTGCGATCGGGACCTTTCCGATCATGTGACAGCAAGTCACATGACCCTAAACCCCACCCCGCCTCTCAGCATCAGAACCCCCTTAAAGGGCCAGGAGGTGCCAGTGTGAAGGGGTTAATCAACACTGGTTTTATTTATTTATTAATGTGCTGTATAAAGGAGAAAAGAACAACAATTTTAAAAGAAAAATTTTTCTTAGCTTTTGTTATAAAATGTTGCAAATAAATAATCTTTCTTAAGATATAAGCTAAAATGTATTCTAATACATTTCTTTGGTAAAAAAAAAAAAACCCAAAACAGTGCATATTATTTAATATGTATTTAATATGTATGAAAGTTATAGAGTCTAAAAGCTATGGTATAGATAGTTGCAAGAAAAAGTATGTGAACCCCTTGGGATTACGTGGAGTTTTGCATGAATTGGGCATAAAATGTGTGCTCTGAACGTCATCTAAGTCACAACAATAGAAAAACACAGTCTGCTGAACATAATACTACACAAACATTAGATGTTGCCATGGTTTAATTGCACATAACATGTAAACATTCACAGTGCAGGGCGGAAAAAGTATGTGAGGCCCTAGCTTAATGACTTCTCCCAGAGCTAATTGGAGCCAGGAGTGAGCCAACCTTGACTCCAATCAGTGTGATGATATTGGATGTGTTGCTGACAGCTGTCCTGCCCTTAAAAAACACACACCTGTTTTGGGTTTACTGGTTTCAAGAAGCACTGTCTGATGTGAACCATGCCTCGCAGAAAAGAGCTCTCAGAAGACCTACGATCAATAATTGTTGACTTGCATGAAGCTGGAAAGGGTTACAAAAGTATCTCCAAAAGCCTTGATGTTCATGTGTCCACGGTAAGACAGACGGTCTACAAATGGAGAAAGTTTAGCACTGTTGCTACTCTCCCTAGGCGTGGTCGTCCTGTAAAAATGATCGCAAGAGCACAGCGCAGAATGCTGCATGAGGTAAAGAAGAATCCCAGAGTGTCAGCTAAAGACCTACAGAAATCTCTGGCACATGCTAACATTTTTGTTGACACATCTACAATAAGGAAAACATTAAACAAGAATGGAGTACATGGGAGGACACCACGAAGGAAGCTATTGCTGTCCAAAAAGAATATTGCAGCACGTTTGAAGTTTGCAAAAGAGCACCTGGATGTTCCACAGCACTACTGGCAAAATATACTGTGGACAGATGAAACCAAGATTGAGTTGTTTGGGAAGAACACACAACACTATGTGTAGAGAAAAAAAGGCACAGCACACCAACATCAAAACCTCATCCCCACTGTAAAACATGGCGGAGGGAGCATCATGGTTTGGGGCTGCTTTGCTGCCTCAGGGCCTGGACGGATTGTTGTCATTGATGGGAAAATTAATTCCAGAGTTTATCAAGAGATGTTGCAGGAAAACGTACGACCATCTGTCCGCCAACTGAAGCTCCGCAGAGGATGGGTGATGCAACAGGACACTGACCCAAAGCATACAAGTAATTCAACAAAACAATGGCTGCAACAGCACAGAATACGCCTTCTGGAGTGGCCCTGTCAGAGCCCTGACCTCAACCCGATTGAAATGCTGTGGCATGACCTTAAGAGAGCGATTCACATCAGACATCCCAAGAATATTGCTACACTGAAACAGTTTTGTGAAGAGGAGTGGTCCAAAATTACTCCAGATCGTTGTGCAGGTCTGATCTGCAACTACAGGAAACGTTTGGTTAAGGTTATTGCTGCCAAAGGAGGGTCAACCAGTTATTAAGTCCAAAGGTTCACATACTTTTTCCTCCCTGCACTGTGAATGTTTACATGTTATGTGCAATTAAACCATGGCAACATCTAATGTTTGTGTAGTATTATGTTCAGCAGACTGTGTTCTTCTATTATTGTGACCTAGATGACGTTCAGAGCACATTTTATGCCCAATTCATGCAAAACTCCACGTAATCCCAAGGGGTTCACATACTTTTTCTTGCAACTGTATATATATATATATATATATATATATATATATATACATATTTATATATTTTAAAAACAACCCAAGATATTTTCTCAAAGGCATAGTGAGTCTTTTAAAAATGTCATTTTTTGCAAATGATATATATATATATATATATATATATATATACTGTATATATATATATATTTGAAAAATGAACAATCCTGATGTACTGATAGCCTATCTCAATTCTTGAGGCCCTAACCTAAAATACCCCACTTTTCAAAATCTACTTTTTGCAAAGTAGACAGTCCAAGGTATTTTAGTAACAGTCAAGGTGAGTTTTCTGAAGTTGTAATTTTTTTCACAATTATTTTGAAAACGAAGAAATTAAAAATGATAGGTTCTGTGTTAAACCTTTCACTTCTGGGTAAGAACTCTTAATATACCAAATCATATCAGAGAAATATTATATTTCATAATCTATAGATTTGGTCAACAAGAGGTAATGTGATTCACTGTGTCTGGGGGTCTGGGTGACACGCAGATCGTCGGGCTCCAAGGTACTTGCTCTGTGAGCTGTAGAGGAGCTGCTGATGCAAACTGATGTACAGGTACATTAGCCCACATCAGCACTGCTTCCCCTCTGCTGTTTATAGGCTATGGGCCAGGGGCGGACTGACAACTCATGGGGCTCCCGGGCAATAGAGGATCATGGGGCCCCTGTGTCCTTGCCCAAACTCTAAAAAGCCTATGAAAAAGGTACCAGGGGCATCTCATGGGGCCCCCTACTGACCCTGGGCCCTCGGGCAGTGCCCGAGTTTCCAAATGGTCAGTTCGCCCCCTATGGGCAGATAGGATGCAGGGTAAAGTAATTTTTGATAGGATGCAGGTCAAAAGTCATACACTTTAAAGTAAAACTTTTTTGCTATATCTACCCTTTATAGGACATGTCTGTTTTGTTTTGATAGAGAATAGCCATTTTCATTCTATGATGTTCTTCAAAGTCTCACTCTGGCACCATCTGTCAAGCCTTCAAATTGATGACATGCCCCCTCACCTAACAGTCCTCAAGTATACACATAGCTTGTAGTTTTGTATAAACGGCACTTGTCTATTCAGAATCCTCTACCATCAGTACCAGTGATGTACCCTTTATCAGACCCATAGTTTTTATAAAATTTTCTTATTCCATTTCCTTTAGATTTAACTTCAACTATTTAGTGCAAGGGCCTGCCTGATTGTGTACAAATTGAAAGTGTTTAGGTTTTGGTCTCATATTATATGTGTTTTGGTAAATCTAAAAGAAAATTGTATAATGTATGGCCAGCCTTATACATCAATGTTATCAAAGGTGTTAGAAAGAGGAGTTGTGGGTGCATTCAGTTTGATAGTTATTGCGATAGATACCAATACCAGTTTTAAAATTTATCTTAAGACGACAACAACCAAAACATTTTCTTTCTTGATCATGAGGCTGCATCATTCAGATATGTCCAGGATATAGTGAATCCCGAAATATCTCAGTATCTTTAAGACATTTAGGGGGATGTGTCAAACAGTGTTGTGGCACCTAAATTTATCTTGCATATGTCTCAAGACCTGTAATTACAGTTGATCCACAGATTTTCAGTTCTTACAATGCTTGGTCTACTAATATGGAAGGAGAACATTTGTGTTTTCTGTGGTATGTTTTTTAATAAGGGTTTTGTAATATAACATACAATAATACAAACAAACATATAATAATTCTGTCTAGTGAAAGTTTTTGCCAAAAATATCTTCAAAGATATTTGTGAAAAAGTAAGTATCCCTACTACATATGACATATTTTCTAAAACAAGATTAGACCATTGTGATATGCATGTACATTGCACTATGTTTGGAGTGATTGGGAGCAGGGGTGGACTGACAACTCATGGGGCCCCTGGGAAATAGGGGATCATGGGGCCCCTGTATCCTTGCCCACACTCAAAGCGCACCCAAAAAGCCTATAAAAAGGTGCCAGGAGCATTTCATGGGGCCCCCTACTGACCCCGGGCCCTCGGGCAGTGCCCGAGTGCTCGAATGGTTAGTCCGCCCCTGCCAGGGGCATCTCATGGGGCCCCCTACTGACTCCGGGCCCTCGGGCAGTGCCCAAATTTCCAAATGGTCAGTCCGCCCCTGATTGGGAGGTTTATGCAGCAAATTATGTATATGCATGTATATACAAGAAAAAAGTCTCTGAAAATCTGGAGAACTGATCCAAAAAGTTTGAAACTACTGATACATTCCTTCAAAATTGCATGCCTGGACCTTATTTAACGCATGCATTTATTTATTTATTTCCTTTAGCGATTTGAAATTAACGCTGTTTTATATGGTATTTATCAAGCATGTTTGCTTATTTAGGTAAAAAACACATAAAGGGATAGTGAATTGACTTTTTCAGTATCGAATGTGATATTTTGGAAACATGTCCCAAATAAGACATGTGATAGTCTTTAATGAATTGAGCCCACTGTTGCTGGCATACACTGGTCTGGTGACACTGGGATTGGTGTGGTGGTAATCAAGAACACTCATGGGATTGCAGGCTGCATCAATTACATATTGGATAAAAACCAACACACCAATTATTGGAATAAATGATGGCCAAGGCACTTACCGTATTTTTCGCTCCATAAGACGCACCTGACCATAAGATGCACCTAGGTTTTAGAGGAGAAAAACAAGAAAAAAAATATTCTGAACCAATGGACTGCAGACACAGTACAGGAGATGACCAGAGACTGCGGACACAGTACAGGAGACGGCCAGAGACTACGGACACAGTACAGGAGATGACCAGAGACTGCGGACATACTACAGGAAATGACCAGAGACTGTGGACACAGTACAGGAGATGACCAGAGACTGCGGACATAGTACAGGGAATGACCAGAGACTGCAGACAGTACAGGAGATGACCAGAGACTGCGGACACAGTACAGGGGATGACCAGAGACAGCGGACACAGTACAGGGGATGACCAGAGACAGCGGACACAGTACAAGGAATGACCAGAGACTGCGGACACAGTACAGGAGATGACCAGAGACTGCAGGCATAGTACAGGAGATGACCAGAGACTGCGGACATCGTACAGGGAATGACCAGAGACTGCGGACACAGTACAGGAGATGACTAGAGACTGCGGACATAGTACAGGGGATGACCAGAGACTGCGGACACAGTACAGGGGAAGACCAGAGACTGCGGACACTGGGGATGACAGTGCGGACACAGTACAGGGGATGACCAGAGACTGTGGACACAGTACAGGGGATGACCAGAGGCTGCGGACACAGTACAGGGGATTATCAGAGACTGCGGACACAGTACAGGAGATGACCAGAGTCTGCGGACATAGTACAGGGAATGACCAGAGACTGTGGACATAGTACAGATGGCCAGAGACTGCAGACAGTGCAGGGGAACCAGAGACTGCAGACAGTAAAGGAGATTACCAGAGACTGCGGACCTTTGGGGAGGGAGGGGGAGCGGGTACCTGAATTTGACATCTACCCGCTCCCACTTCCGTGGAGTTGTCCTTCCTTCTTCCCGCGTCGGCTTCTGTGACAGCTGGGTGCCCACTGCGCATGCGCTAGAAGCGCTGCACTTTGTGAATGACCCAGAGCCTTCTGGGACCTGTCATGTGTTCCAGAAGACACTGGACCATTCACAAAACGCAGCGCTTCTCTCGCATGCGCAGTGGGCACCCGGCTGTCACAGAAGCCGGCACGGGAAGACTGCAGCGCTGGAGCGAGGAACAGGTAAGGTCCTGCAGGAGAGAAGAGCTGAGTGGCCGGCCCTGTATTTTGACATGGTGGCGGCAGAAATACCGAACCGGCCACTTTACATTCGCTCCATAAGACGCACTGACATTTTCCCCCCTTTTTTTGGTGGGAAAAAAGTGCGTCTTATGGAGCGAAAAATACGGTAATTGGATTTAAAATTATAGTTCAATTAAATATTTAAAGTGGTAGTAAATCACAACAAAGAAAAAAAACACAGTCCCCTGCAAGGTAATGTCATAATGTGCTAGTACGCATCGCATACTAGCACAATATGTAAAACTTACCTTAAAACGAAGCCCTCCAGCGGTGCGCTGTCACCGCTGCAGAGGCTTCCATCTTCACATGGCACTTTATCCAGGTTCGCGATCTCCGACCATCTTACAGGCTGGGGTACAAAGGCTTAAAATCAGAGAGGAATACCAAACCAATCAAGGCAAGATCTCAGAAAAAAAACTATAGTAATTTTAGGTAAAGCAAGGAACAGGCCATTGTTGAAACAACTTAGATAACTGAAAATAAAAGTTAATCCACTGCAAACATCTAATACCCTTCCAAAGGACTGTATAGCGTTCAGGCTGAAAATAAAGATTATCGGAATAGCATTGTTGTGAAGCTCTCTTACGAGCCCAAAATTTAAAAGAGTGTCCGAAAATCCAAACTTAATTTTTGTTACCTAAAAATTAAAAAGACAAGTTAGGGTGAATATACAAATGAAACCTTTTTGAATCCGATCTACCTAATTTTTTGATAATAGAGTCATTCTCACAGCTTCTGTTGCCAAAAAGAGTGAGATGATAGTTTAAAACTTTGGAGACCTAAAACAGAAATATACTTTTTGAAAGCTGAACTAAATTGAACATTAGTGACAGGAGACTGGTCAACGTGAATTAAAAAGAGACCAGAAGTTGAGCAATGAAAATTAAGGTATTCTGAGACCAATTTAACTGCACAAATATAATGATGAGACCAGACCTGTAGAGTGAGCCATCAACCTCTGCTCAGTCTTGGATTTTTTAATCAAAATTTTAACACATGAATTAGAAAGGATAACATCATGTAAATACAAACTTGACCCACCTTTTTTATTTTTTGGCACCAACTCCGATATCCTTAATGCTGCGAAAAAGGCCAATACAAAAGTTGTGCGAAAAAGTAAAGATCCATATATGGAAAAACAAACTGATTGTGTAATTGAACAGATTTATTCCAAAATATCTATGAAGATGGGATGCCTATCTTCTGGCACAAACAAAGCCTTTTTACAGCCCTTAAGAGCTTGCCTAACAGAGAAAAGACTGTTGTACGCAGGCAGTTCGCAACACTTAAAAAAAGAAACTCCTGCTAAGGTTTTAACTACGTGACTATGAGAAAAATTCTGATGCATCAAAGAACATAAAAAGGCTAGAATAGAGCGTTCAGAAGGTGAGGTAGAATCAAAACCAAATTCTCTAGAAAACGACAACCATTTGTCCCATGCAACTGAATAATCAGTCCACGTATTTACTGCCAATGAATTTTTAATAGCCTCACTGACAATATTCATATTAAGTTCCATAGATGTTCCAGGCATATGAATCCCTCTTTATCATCATTTGGAAGAAGCTGTCTGAATCGAGAGATCTGGAAAAGAGACAGATGAGGAACTGGACGTATTGCAGATGGAATATTTGGAGAGTGCACAGATAACTTTTTCTTTTTATTTGTTTCATCCACAATATTGTTCAATTCTCCAGCGATATATTTTGCTTTTGCCCAAAAATTAAACTTAAGGCAATGAAAAACAAAATACCACAATAGTTTGATAACAAAGGCTGATTTGGAGATCAAACAGTTAACTGCAAAAATGACACCTTTATTATCAAACTGAATAGTAATTATTCAATTAGCAAACAAATGACCCCACATTTCAAAGACTACAATAATTGGAAATAATTCTAAATGTACAATACACTTTGTTGCCTTTTTTGCCACCCAGGACTTGGGTCAAATGCCACACCACCAGTGTTTTCAAAAAACAGCAGCAAAACCTTTGGAGCCTGCCACATCTGTAAAACGTTGAAGAGCAGAATCTAAAATAAAGTCAGGAAGAAAATACAACCAACCTTTATAATCGTCTAAAAACTAGGATCATATAATTAGATCTTCCTTAACCTCATGAGTTATTCTGACACACGATAAAGGAGATTTATGCCGGATGTAGCAAGTGAAAGACTTCTATAAAAAATTCTGCCTACTGGCATAACCCTAGAGGCAAATTCCAGTAAATCTAAAAGAGACTTGAGTTCTTTTAATAATACTTTTTTGTGATGAAGAAAAAAGGAAATGGTAGACCTAAGTCACATTAGTTTAACCTCAGGTAATCTGAATTCCATTGACAAAGTGTCAGTGGTGATTGCCAAAAATTTCAGCGATGTAGTGGGAAGAAAAAAAAACATTTTTTCAAATGCTAAATGAACACCAAAATGACTAGTTACACAAAAGAAAAGTTTTGATAGATAAAAACAAAGACTAAAACCTGGAGGACCAAAAAAAAAAAACAAAAAACATCTAAATAATGGATCACGTAATTAAAACCAGACTTATAAGTAATGACCCATTGAAGAAAAGTGGCGAAAGCTTCAAAATACAAACAGAATAGTGAGCATCCCATTGGAAGACACATGTCAAAAAATAGTATCTTTCAAAACAAAAACCAAGAGAATTAAAGCATTCAGGTGTTATCAGGAGCAAAGGAATGACTGACTTTACATCTGCCTTTGCAAGTAAGGTACCTGAACTAAATATCCAAATTTATTTAATGGCGTTGTCAAAAGTCGAATAGGAAACGTTGGAAATGGAACTGTCATTTTGATCATTCAAGGAAGGTGATGAATGAGCCAAAATGAATTTGGCTCCTTTTTGGGGACAATACCCAGCGGAGATAAACAAAAATTGGGGAAAGGAGGGGAAGAGAGTTCTTTAAGAAAAAATGTCTTTAGTAACCAGCTTAAATGTATCAATTGACTTTAAATTCTTCACTAACACACAACCTGGTCCTTCAAAGAATAGATAATTTAAAACCAAAATAAAAGAAGCAAGATTGCCTTCTCCCTGTCTGGGTATGTTTGCAACCAAGAGAGCATTCTTTCTGGCCTCACAGGCATGCAGGCCTTTTGGAAAAATATCCTTTTGTGTGGTAGCAAACAATGTAGAGTGTTTAAAACATTTTGCAGGAGGGTGGGAGCTGGCACATAGGGAACATTCATGCTTATATCTGCAAGAAAAATTCCATTTGCATTGAGACTTATTGAAAGCATAGCAAATGCCCTTTTTATATGCAGCAGCTACAGTAGAATTAACAGGTATTTGTCTATATACTGGGTAGGGCTGTTGCAGTGTAATAAGGTTCAACCAAAGCCCCACGTCTTTCATACCCCAATGTAAATTTGGGTACACAGACAATTTTTGTCAGAAGGACTCGTCATAGTAGAACCAACTGGGACTGCCAAAACTCATAGGCTTCTAAAATAATTTCCAAGTGTTGGAATACGCCACAAACATTTATCCAGAAATTTTCACCCATGATGCTTGAAAAAATACAAAAGGCCGAATCAGGGTCTTCATGGACAGTCAGTCAGCCAGGAAATTATTATAGCCCTTGAGCTCTATGTGCTGTTGCTGACTAACTCAGAAAAAAAGGTGGCTGGGGAAGTCCTTAAAAAAAATTCCAGGATTCTGGAGAGGTTTGGAAGATTCTAGAATAAAGCTGTAAAAGGGCATAAGCCAAACATTTCATGTGTATGTATGAATGTAAGTTAGGGACCTTAGATTGTACACCCCTTGAGGGTTAGGGACTTATGTGAATGTACAATATATATGTAAAGCGCAGAACAAATTGACAGCGCTATATAAGTACCGTATTTTCCGGCGTATAAGACGACTTTTTACCCCTTGAAAATCCTCTCAAAAGTCGGGGGTCGTCTTATACGCCGGTAAAGGGAAATACTGACACTTTTTAGGGGGGCGGCGCGGTGCCGCCGCTGCCCCCCCTTTCCAACAGAAGGGACACTAAGTACAGGGGTGGGCAGGGGCTGCTGTTTCTTACCTGGATCCGGTCCCACGACGATCCGGTCCAGGAAGCGCGGCTGCTCCTTCAGTTTGGCCACTGGATGTTTGCGTGGCTGCTCGGCTCCGCCTCCTCACCGGTGATTGGCCGCCAGAACTGTAGCTCAGGAAAGGCACACAGGTGGCCAATCACCGGTGAGGGGGCGGAGCCGAGTGGCCCCACGAAAATCAAGTGAAGGAGCGGCCGATAAGTGTGCAGTGTAGAGGTGCTGCTGCTACCACATATGCTGGCTGCAGCAGCACCATACTAGAACATCGGTCAGCAAGTGTAATTGGTGTCAGTGGGAGGAATAGTGCCCCATCATTGGTGTCACTGATACTAATGATGGGGCATTATTCCTCCCACTGACACCAACGATGGGGCACTATTCCTCCTCCCCACTGACACCAACGATGGAACACTATCCCCCCCCCCCACTGACACCAATGATGGGGCACTATTTCACCCCCCACTGACACCAATGATGGGGCACTATTCCACCCCCACTGACACCAATGATGGGTCACTATTCCACCCCCCACTGACACCAATGATGGGACACTATTCCTCCCACTGACACCAATGTTGGGGCACTATTCC